ACGAGAAAACAACTCTCGTTATGTCGATATAACGAGAAAACAAGTAGGGGAAAAAAAATTAATGCATGGCCGCTTAGAACTTCCATAGAGTCATGCATCTAGCAATAACGCTACACAAAATAATCATATTGATTCAAGCATTTAATATTTACAAATTAATTAAATGTCAGTAATGGAAAATACTGCAAAAATTATAGCGATCACGAAGAAGGTCCTTATTCTGTCCCGGATGCGTAGAGTAAAGTGGATGTAGCCTACAGTATACAACACCCCATCAGCTATATTCAGTTCTGTACTGCCACCTGTTGGCGCAGTTGTGTAACTTAGAGAAGATTTTTATGTCGAGATCACGAGAAAACAACTTGTCATGTTGAGATCACGAGATATTAAGTCGTAATCACGAGAAAACAAGAAAGAAATATTATATAAAGATATAAAAAAAATATATATATAAAGAAATATTAATAATCCATGTCCTCTTAGAACTTCCGTAAATAAGTAATAAATACAATCAAATGATTTTGAGGTATAAAGCAACCAAGATTTATGAGCTTGTGCTATATTTTATAAGCACATTTTCCATATATAGACATTTGACCAAACAAATTATGATAAAATATTAAGTGTAATATTAAGTGCATTTTTTAAAAATTGGATTGGCCTCATCTATTGCATGTCTGATCTTTTTTTATTATTCACTTAATGTAGAATGCACCGGCTGAAAGCGTGAAGGTAAAGAGACCCTTTCTTAAACGAGGAGAAGGTCTGGCCAGGTTTACAAGGGGAAAAGCCACTGTGCCACCAGTCAGAAAAAGTCCACCTAACCACAAGCCCTCCTTATGTCCAAATCCAAAAGTTTCCCAAGACCTGGACATGAGGTCCAACAAGAACTCTGTTAAAAACAAAACCGAAGGCTCAAAGTTCACACATCCTGTGATCCAACGCAAGATTGCTGTTCTCAACAAAGAGAACATTCTTAAGAATAAAACCACAGCGCCAGTCACCAAGATGACTGTTCAACCTCGTGTTCTTGTCGGACACCAGAGTGAGAATATGAACCCCATCCCAGCTCAGTTCCAGCCAAAATCTGATCCCTCGTCCAAGCAGAAGATCAACAGTGTCACTACAACAGACAGCAATAAGGAAGGGTCATGTAGTGGTGTGGAGGATAATGCATGTGTTGCTGAAAACTCATTTGAGGTGTGGTTCACGGAGAGGAAGGAGCACTGGGAGCAAGATCACCAACGGGAGTGTGCTGAACTTGGAGAGTTTGAGTTGCTGGAACGAGCAGCAGATGAAATATCCTTCTCCAGCAACTCGTCCTTCATCAGCACCCTCCTTCAGAGAGACCGCAGGCGTCTCTCCTCCACACCCATCAAATCGACCAGTCAATCTGCACTACCTAGCCATGGTCAAGGTCCTGCAGTAACTCCTGAGCCCATGTTGGGTCATAGTGTACCAGTTCCTCCTACAAACACTACAATACAGAGAGATGTCATTAGCATAGGACCGAAAGAGCAGAGAGGGTTCTCAGAAGAGGAAACCCATGAAAAGTTGGATGACGACTTATTGTGCAGTAATTCAGGGTTGCAACCCCTCCCCAACAGGTCCAATCCACCCATAACCCACTGCTTTGAAGTGCCTACCACTCTGCCTTATGATAAACTCACCTATCAAGACAGGGACGGAGCCAGCAGTCCAGAGGAGGATGAGAGGAGTTTGAGTAACAATGGAGACTCTACTCTCATAGATTCAAGGGCCCAGTTAGAGTTTGATGACGATGATACCTGGAACGAACCTGAGGAGGAGTCCTGCTGTCCTGCAGAAGAATCCCCATCAGACAGGGCTCTGAAAAGGAAGGTTGCCTTCTCCAAGGGGGTAAAACCAGCAGGTGGCAGCCCAGATGCAGTTGGGAAAGAAGCTCCACCGACATGCCAGTTGGTATCAAAGCTGTTTCCCACGCTAAAGCCTAAACCTTCTCCTCCGGTAACAGTGGTGCATGTGCAGGAACCACAGAACGTGCCCAGTGAAGAAGGAGCAGGTAAAAGTAGGAGTTTTGATGTTCTGCATACAGCTACAGAATGTGCTTATTTGCATACCAAAATGTTTTTCAAACCTACATCCTAACGAATTAATGGTCACAATCAATGCAATGCAAAACTAAAAATAAAAGGGATGCATGTTAGGGATATATTGGTACTGTTGGTTATTGTTAATCCATTTGTAGAATTTAAAACTATTTTTTTTATTATTTTTTTTATTTAGTTAAAATAGTATAGAATTTTAATATCAGCCATTTATTAGTAATTGGTTGTAACTTAAATATACTTATGTTTATCAGTATCGGCAAGTGTGATTGTCTGCACTGAATCCTCCATTTACCTGTTTATCTCTGTAAAGCTGCTTTGACACAATATGAATAGTATAAAGCGCTATCGAAATAAAGATGACTTATCTATAGTGTTATGAAAGCTTTCAAGGCAAAGTAAATAAAATCATCATACACATAACTTTAAAAGTCTGTGGTTGGAAAGATCTTTTAAATGATTGAGCCACTTTTGCTTACCAAGGATGCATTAAATTGATCAAAATACATATATTTTAATATATTAGGTAAGCTTTGTCATTACAGTTAGTTGTTCCTATGATGGCAAAGCTGAGTTTTCAGTAGTCATTTCTCCAGGCTTCAGTGTCACATGATCCTCAGAAATCATTCTAATATGCTTATTTGGCTCTTAAGAAACATTTCTTCTTACCCATTTTGAAAACAATGATAAATATAAGTTCAGTAGAATAGCATTTCTTTCAAATAGAAATGCATTGGTCAAAATTAACAGACATTTACAATATTACAGTTTAATGCATCCTTGCTAAATAAAAGTGTTGATTGTTCAGATTGTACACATCTGATGTAATGTGCTAGTTACATACAGTACATGCATGATCCTGCTAAATCCTGAAACTCAATTATTTTCAGCTCAATCAAGACTTCTTCGTGAGCGTTTGGTGGAGCTGGAAACAGAGATTGAAAGGTTCAAATCTGAGAATGCGGCACTGGCCAAACTAAAGCAGGAGAACCAAGACATAAGAGAGAATCTCAAGTAAAGCCCCTTGTCTGTCTTGTTCAAATACTCTGTATATTTTGATAAATTTGACTGTTGTTTACAGCGAAACTACAAATGTCTTGGCAATATGAATGTACAGTTATTTGTCATGCTAAAAACATTTAAACTGAAAACTTTTTAAATAACATTTTCCCATACAGGAAAGAGAGGGCTGAATTTGAAAAGAAGAGGATGGAGGAAATTGCAAAGTGGGAGGAGCTTAAAAGGGAGGAACATAAGAAACTGCAGCGTGAAAGGAAGCTTTTCGAAAAGCATGCAGCAACTGTTAGAGCAAGACCTGACAAACAAGAACGAGATGAGATCCAGGTCCGGCTATTTGAAAAATATAATTTGGACACTATCAGTTCTGTTTGTTTCTATTATTAATGGTTTTATGTGTTTTTAATGTGACTGTTTATGTCTGCATCAGGCTCTAAAGCAGCAGTTGAATGTGCTGCAGGAGGACTTGTGCAAACGAGAGGCTCGTTGGAGCAACACACAGAGCCGTCTCCGACAGCAGGTAGACACTCTGAGTGCAGAGAACGCAGCCCTCAGAGACCAAGTGCGGACGCAGGAGAAACTGCGCCTCAGTGCGTGGAAGAGTGCTGAGAAAGAGAAGGAAAAGTTCTCTCTGTCTGGCAAAAGAACCAATACTGGATCCAAATGTACAGATTCCAGGGTAAGTGTGGAGTGGCAGGTCTGAAAAGTTTCTGCACCCCTCCCCTTCAGGTAGATTTCATAAACACTTCAAAAGCTCAACTTGAAAGCAAAAACTCTTTTCCCAAAGATTTGCTTATTCAAATAACTTGGTTATATCTATAATCATTTGTGTAAGATTTCACAGTTAGTATGTGTGTTTTTATGTCTAGAGTCCCTCTCAGAGTTCAAAAAATAGCAGCAGCAGAAAGGGAAGTCCAGAGACACAGATCCCTCTCACAAATTCAGGTATTACCGTATTTAGGTATTATTGATTACTAGTGCACATTTCTTATTGTTCTAACCATAAAAATATATTTTATTTTATCCATCTGTACTTTTATATTGTGATTGCCATGTAGCATAGCTTTAAATTAACTTACCACATTTTGCCACAGCTTTTTTCCCTGAACAAGTTAAAGAGAGCATCAGCTTCAAATATGAGCCAAGTCCAGTGGAAACCCAGTGTTCGGATGGACTGGTTACGACTGAGAGGAACCATGATGCTCCACATAACTCTCTCTCTGGCATTGAACAGTCAGAGAAGGAACAGGAAGAGATCACCCAGTCAGACAACAAGGTAATCTTTAGCTCCAACTTGCTGTTCAAATAGTTTCAACAAATTCCAGATTAACATTGAGAGGAGTGCTTTTTCAAACAAAACCGGGCCAAAGAAATCACTTTCCATTTAAAAAAGTGTAGAAATTATGGTTACATTACAAAAGTTATCAGTATGTCCACTTTCAAATGGAATTCAAGGTCTAAATCAAATATTTGTGGATGTTTCAGATTGAGAAGGTGCTCCCTGATGGAGGCCGACTTGTTGTTTTTCCAAATGGCACGAGGAAAGAGCTTTCTGCTGATGGACAGACGGTTAAAGTCATGTTTTTCAATGGAGATGTGAAACATACCATGCCTGATCAAAGAGTGGTGAGGAACGGACTCTAATTACAATGAATTTATTCTTAGTATTAAGTTTACACCAGTGTAATGGATCGGTTATTTGTGTGAAAACATGTTCTTCCATTATACATGCTGGAATTAAATGTTTACAATTAAGGTTTTTAGTATAAAGAGGTTTTGACTTTGAATTCACAATTGCAATGAAGTGAATCAGGAAATCATTTTAAGTAGCATTGTCATGGTGTGTGGTTTTTTTTTTTTTTAAGATTTATTACTATGCAGAAGCTCAGACCACACACATTACCTACCCAGATGGGATGGAAGTGCTTCAGTTTCCTAACAATCAAACAGGTGGGCCTGAATTTCTTTCAAAATAAATGTCCAGCCTTAAGACTGAATTTTAAGTCTTAATATTCCACTCTGTTTTCCAGAAAAAAAATTCCCTGATGGTCGTAAGGAAATCACTTTCCCTGATCAGATGGTTAAGACTCTTCATCCTGATGGAAGAGAGGAAAGTGTTCTTACAGATGGAACAGTAATACAACTGAATCCGTGAGTACAACTCATAGCCCTCACCTCAATGTGTTATAATAAAGTCACCTGACATATTAAAGTCACACCATTTTTATTCTACTTTCAGGGATGGCAGTAAGGTGATCCAGTTTAACACAGGTCAGCGAGAGATCCACACTGCAGATTTCAAAAGACGGGAATATCCAGATGGTACGGTTAAAACCGTTTACTCAGATGGACGGCAAGAGACACAATACCCTACAGGACGAGTACGGTTAAAAGACGCACAGGGTCATGTCATTATGAACACTAAGGCTTGAAAGACCCAAAATATTGTTTTATTTTAAAGGAAAGGAAAACAAATGGACTTGAATGAAGTTGAGTGAAGGAATGTCTGTTTTGTGTAAATGTGTCAAGTATTTATTTGGAGAGTAATTTCTGTAAAAAATAAATGTTTGTATGTTGTGTTTAACAGAGTTATGCATGACAAGGTAATAGTTTTAAATGGTAATTTTAGAGGGATAAAATGGGCTTGATGCCTTTAGATGAGCTGTACTGTGCAGTTGATTAGACTAGCATTATTCATATTCCTCAGAAAGAATATGGACATTTCATTCGTAACATGTTTAAGGTACTTAAAGGACTGATTTAAGCTGAACTATGAAAAGGTTCTCTGGATGATTCTGGTAGTGGTCTGAAGATAAAAGTGCATCAATTGGTCAGCCTGCTATGATTGTTAACATCCAAAATTTCAAGAAGTCAATTATGACACAAAAATATAGCACAAAACCAAGTACTTGAACATAAAATGAGAAAACTACAATGTAAAATGATGTGCAGACTCAAAAGCTTCTATGAAATCTGATGACCTAAAGCAGTTTCTCAACCCTGGTCCTGGGCGCCCCCAGCACTGCACATTTTGTGTGTCTCCCTAATCAAACACACCTGATTCAACTCATTAGCTCATTAAAAGAAACTCCAGGACCTGAAATGGGTGTCAGATAAGGGAGACATACAGTAAATGCCCCTTCAGATGCAGCTTCTGTTTCCTCTGCATTGCAAAGATGAATTTGTTTGGTATCAGCCCCAAATGTCTTATTATTGTAATTGACTTTGATTAAATATATGAATTTGACATAGCCTACTTCTAGAAAAAATGGCTTTACAAAGGTAAAAATGCCCATAAAGGGTAAACATCATTTTAAACTAATTGGAAAAGATTATTTTCTGTCACTGCGGTGGACTGACCACCACACAAAGTCAGCTGTCCACGGCAGTCCTGCAACGCAACACACTCGACAAAATATCGTCTGATTATCGTTATCAATAAAATCCCAGAAAATATTGAGATATAATTTTTTGTCAATATCGCACACCCTTAGGCTAGATATTTAATTCTTCTTTGCTTAGTGATTGCTTGGTACACCTAATTCACTGATCATCGTAAAATAAGCTTTTACCTTAGAATTTGGTTTTCTCAACGATAAAGAGGACAAGACAAAAAGATATATTAATCATGTTTATATAAAGTTTTAATAATTTTTTTGAAGGCGGCCCGGGGGGCGCCTTCTTTTGACACAAGAGCTTTGACACAATTCAAACACCCTATGGAAGTATTTTCGTGACTGAGGATAAATAGTTTCATTGAAATATAGGTCAGTAACTTTCCTCAGTACATACAGTACACACAGGTCCTGATCCCTGCCCCATCCCCCAATCACCATTACAACTTACATAAGCTGTATCAAGATCCAGGTTGCAGAGCTCATTGTGTGTCATTTTCTACACAACAAAAAGATCAATGAGCAGAGGCCCTCAGGCAAATTGTGTCTGGCTGTAAAAGAGCAAAGCAATAAATAAATAGGCTAAATACATAAATTATAAATACAGTGCACGCGATCCCATCATGTTATTTCTAGTACCGTTAGATTTTTAATTGTTTGCATGTATGTGTGTAAACAATCACAATAAATATATGCACTGTAT